CCTTTGGGGGTTTACCAAAGCCAAATATATTCCTTGTTAATGAAATAAGTTTCTTATGTAAATTTATAAATGATAGAGTTTCCCTAGAGCATTGAGAGATCACTCATCCCATGTTGGATACAACTTTTCTCTTTCTTGGTAGCACCCCTATACGTTTTCAATCCTGCTCACACCACCCACTGATAAATTTAGAAAAAGCTAACTCCCTAGTCCATCTAAAAAAATGGATTGGTGAAAAAAAAAGCTAACTCCTTAATCTATCTAAAAAAATGGATAGAGGCTTGTCTTCCCCACTGAATTAACCAGAAAAAAAAAAAAAAGATAAAGAGACCAAATTTTATTTGAAGTTCTCAGGCCAATAGCTTATATACAAAGGGGAAAAAGAAGCGCAATCAATTTCAAATAATATATCATTCTATTTTAATCTTTTCCTTTTTTTTGTCCGGAGGGAGAAGGGCTCAATATGCTCATTCAAGGGTGATTTTGGAGGACAATAAGTCTTCTCTATTACTTTTGATCATGAGCTTAAGAGCCTATTTGGATATATTTGTTATCACTGATAATTTAGTGTTCTAATAAAAAAAAAGTTACTGATAATGAATTACGTGTTGTTTGGCCACATCCTTTATATATTTATCTCATATAAACTTAGGATAAGCTTTGTACAAAGAGCAGTTCCTATACTATACAAGTATGGTACACCTCTAAATATTGCCAAGAGATGTGGTTTTCTGGTATCATAAAGCTTATGATAACTTGAAAATTTATTTTTATCCTTAGCTATGAAATTTAAAATTTGATATTTAAAAAATAGTACATCATCCAGGAGATCTATAAACACTTGAAAATATTAAAAAAATAAATTGTCTAAGTAATTTGTTACAATATGCACTATTTTTAGGAATTAAAATTATTTTTTTATTTATTTACATACTTCTTAAGGTCGAGGTGATCAATTGGAGGGTTTTACACTGTCGAAACACTCTCGCCTAATGGAGTTTTGAGGTGCACCTTACTTCAATAGTATAAGGTTGACACCTTATATAAACTGTTTCCATAAACTTATAGCTGGTCTCTCCTTACATATAATTTTGATAAAATTATATACATATATGTTATACTTTATGTTATTACAGTTGCACCAATAGTTTCCGTTATAACTCACGTGTCCGTTTTTTATCTACCATAACGCCTTTTTTAAAAAAAGACAACTTTGCCTTTTTTCGGATGTTCAACATCCGAATTTTTGCAATTTTCTGATGTTCATCATTAAAAAATAGCCGCAACTCAAACAATGATTTTTCTCATTTTCGGATATTCAACATCCGAATTTATGAGATTTTCGGATGTTGAACATCTGAAATTTTTCGTGCCAACATTTCCCACATACAGGCGGAAACTTATTTATTTTTATTTTTATAAAGTTGAAAAAACTTATCATTGAAATCATATCCCCTTTACTGTCCCTTAATACAGTAACTCACAAAGTTGAAGAGATTGACTCACTATTTGGATGTGATTGGTACCGTTGTTACTCTTTTTTTTTACGGTTGATTAATTGAAGTTTATTATATGTTATTTTTTAGGATATTTTATTTTGTTAATAATATTGGACGTGTATTTTTTTTAAGGAACTTGTTTAATATTGATGAAGTTATTTGTTTTATATAATTATTTATTGTTTGTATCATGTTGATACATTGTATTCTTTATTTTGGAGAAATAATTGTTAAACTTGTTTGCTTGTATTAAAATTTGTCGTTTATTTTGTGTTTATGTGAATATTTGTTATTTTCTTTTGTTTAATATTTATTACTCACAATTTTCGTAGTATACTATTTCAATCTATTATGTAATACTCAGATTTTATGAACCATAAAGGAGTTAGAAATATCCCAATTTTTGGTATTTTTTTGTATTGATTTTTTGTAACACAAATTTTGATATTCATTTAATACAGTAGTATTGACGATGGCTACTGAGGGAGTGCAAATGGTATTTCGATATGGGGGGTCATTTGAGATGAATGCAGATGACGGTGTGTTATTTATAAAGGAGGAAAATTGAAGGCCACCAAGTATAATGGGAATAGTTCCTTGGAGGAACTAAAAAGTCATTTTGCTAATTTAACCAAGTGTGATCCAAACAAATTAGCTATTATACACTACAACATAAGTCTATATAGTGGGCTCGATTTGATTAATGTTAGTGATGATATAAATATATCTTTTATGTTAGGAGGGGAATCTTCGAGAATTGTAGTATATATTGCCGAGCCACAACAATAATCTGTTACTGAGGGCCCATCTTCAAGGAATAGGTATATCTACAATTTATTTTTTCATCTGTAAATTGCTTTATTTTAATAGTATATGTGCAGAAATTATTGTTTCATCTTACACTCTATCTTTTGTCAACAGTCGGCAAAACGCTTTACCTGAGTAAGATTAAAACATTAAAGTGGCACCCAACCCTGAGCTCATACCAGAGCGTTATATGGAGGATATTGAACTACTAGAGAGTCCATATAGAGAACTTGGTAACGAGGTTCAATTGAATGTTAGGCAATTTTTAAAAAATGTTAATGAACACCGGCATCATCTAGTTGATTTTACAATCCACAACAATTTTATTTTAAAGTTTAACAAAAGTGAATTAGAATGGGTGTGGGCAAGTTGCAAGGCAGAGGGATGCACATGGCAAGTGCAGTGCTTATAAGTTGGCAGTATCACATACTTTAAATTGAAGTTTATGGTTACGGAGCATACATAGAGTGGTCCAATGGGAAGGGTCCATCAGCCACTAGCTCGTAGTGATTGGATGGCAAAAAAGATTAAATGCCACCTTCTTGACCAACAAAAAATTAAAGTAAAAGGCATTGTAAAGGATGTTCAACGTGATCACGGGGTCAGGCTTTCCTACATGCAAGCTTGGCGAGGAAAAGAGGTTGCTAGAGATATGATAGTCGGATCACATGAACAACAATACCATGGCCTCCCCCTGTATATTGAGAAGATCAAAAGAACCAACCCAGGAACCGAAGTTCGCATCCACACAGACGAAGGCAGGTTCAAACAACTATTTATTGCTTATCGTCCATGCATTATGAGTTTTGTTAATTGATGCAGGCCACTAATTGGTATTGATGGAACTGATACAGTCATCTTACCTCGAACATAGCCGAATCTTTCAATGCTTAGATTTTATCGGCTCGAGAGAAGGCGATTATTAAAATGTGTGAAGAAATAAGGGTACAGTTGATGACCAGGTTTGAAGAAAAGAAGGAGTTAGGTAATATTTTGAACGGCATGCTCGTACCGAAGGCCCAACAATTAATTGACATGCGAAAGATGAAGGTTCGATTTTTGCACACAATTATATCTGACATGGACACGGAGTTTGAGATCCATTATCTTGGGAAGAAGTGCGATGACAATTTAACACATTGGATGTGCAGTTGTAGAAAATGACAACTCAATGGCATTCCGTATGCCCATGCCATTGCGGCCATTAACCGTATGCATATGGATCCCACTGTGTATTGTCTTAAGTATTTTACAGTGGAATACTTTCAAAAAGGCATTTGAAACTCCCTTGGCTCATGTCCCAGATGATATTGAGTTGACAGGTATTTACAATCGGACAGTGTTGCCACCAAAGACTACACCCGATAGGCCAAAAAAGCAACGAAGAATATCCGAGACGGAACATCCGATCACCAGGTCTTTGAAGTGCAAACGATGCGATGCAGAGGGTCATAATAGGAGAACATGCAGAGAACCGATAGAGTGAATTAGTTGATGTTAATATTGTATTCTTATAACGAATTATGAATTTCATGAATTAAAGAATGGAGTGAATATTCTGTTTTTGTTGTCAAAATTGTGTTAGTGCAATTGGAATTCTTTGTTGTCATAAACCTTCTAATATAGAATTTGGAGCCCCTTCTGAAACTATTATGAGTTTGCCAATCTTTGTGTCGAGAAAGATGATTTCAATATTGAAAATCTTTGTGATAGCCTTAAAATAAATTTTCATCTTCACTTATAAAATTAAAGGCCTAAAAAATGCATTATTCTTGATGTCCAAACCTTGAAGTCCTTTTTTTTTCTCATGTCCATGCATCATGATGTCCATATAATCAATATGATGTCTAAATAATTTTCAAACCTTGAAGTCCATTTTTTTCTCATGTCCATGCATCTTGATGTCTAGATGATCAATCTGATGTCTAAACAATTTTCGGATGTTGGACATCCAAAAAGTCAAAATTTTCGGATGTTCAACATCCTAAAATATGACTGTCAAAATACAAGAACTTCCTGGATTTTAGCAGTCAAATTTTCGAATGTTGAACATCAAAAAATTTGACACTTTTGGATGTTCAACATCCGAAAATATCACTCTCACAATTCAAGAAGTTCCTGGATTTTGACAGTCATATTTTCGGATGTTCAACATCCAGTTTTCGAATGTTCAACATCTGAAATCATCACATCCTAAAATGTCATATTTCCAGATGTTCAATATCCAAAAATTTGACTACTAAAATCCAGGAAGTTCCTAGATTTTGACACATATTTTCGAATGTTGGACATCTGAAAATAACTAATTTTCAGATGTTCAACATCCGAAAGTGATTTATGTCACATGTTCAATTTTTCTTTTCAATTTTCCTATCACATGTTCAACTTTCCCTAGTTCAGTTTAGTTCACATGACTTCTGTCACATGTTCAACTTTCCCTAGTTCAGTTTTTCTGTCATGTTCATGCCACATGTGCACATTGAAAAACTCAAATTATAAACAATTTTAATACGCAAATTTAATACACATGTACCACATGCCAGTCTTCACCTCTAAGTGATATTTTCAGAAACTCAAATTATTAAACAATTTTAATACGCAACAAGCCATAAACTCTATTAATTTGTAAAGGCTTAAATGAAAGTAGAAAGAAAGACTTAAGTGAAAGTAGTAATGACCAATACAAAATTCATTCAACAACAATACATTTCAACAGTCAAAACGACCAAGTGTTCCAATACATTATACGGGTCAAGACCCCATTACACTGGTCGCATTCTCTTAGGCTGATATTGTTTCTTTTGTGTATTATATTTTCTGGGTTCCTCAACTACAGGTTGTGTGGATGGAGCTAGCTCTTCTACAACCCAACTACTTTCCCCCACTCCATCATGTCCGGCCTCGTCAGGTACACCTTCGTCATTATATTGACATTGCAAAATTTTCATCCTGGCTTCTACGTCACCCATATCCACAGGCACAAATTAAGACAATGTTTCAAACGCGTTGTTAACGCGATTATAAATTTCAGGATACCCCTTCTGTCTAAGTGTAAGTACATCTGCTAACATGACTGTAGATGTCTGAACTGCACCAACCTGCACAATATTTAAACAATTTCATAGAGCTAATAGGTAAATAAAGTACTATACGAATTTGTGGGTCAATATAAATATACCAACTTGTCCTCATAACCTCGAGGTCTCATTATATACTGTGGTTCATGAGCAGGAACCACATCTTCTTCTTCCTGGATATGAGGTTGCATATGTCGTTGGGTGGGTTAACGACATTATGTATTAGAGGATGAGCTATTAGGTTGTATCAAGCCTTGTACTCCTCTGAGGGTAACCCATTGTCAGTATCTTCTACAATTTCAGGCATCATGCGGTCATGGCGAGACAACCAGTGAGCGATTTTGTCTGCGTTAACAGTTCGTCAATCTCACTGTCCACCTTGTCTGCTAGCCCTCTTACTAACAACCAAGGGATTCCTAGGAATGCCCTATTTAGCGCTAAATTGTTGGCGTACTTGATCTGGTATGTAAGGCTCGGCAATATCGTCAAATATCAGTGTTGTAATACACATTGCAGTTTGATATGCCTGCTGCCTAGCATTTTAAATGACTTCATCAGGCTTGAAATAGGGATTCCAAATTACCTGTTATATGATGTGCAATCAATCAATAAAAATAATTACAAACGCTTAAATACATTTGAAAGTAATCAATATCAAATTATACACTAACCTCATTAGGTTGGACGCTATCAAATTCTTATCTGACGAGAGACATTAGTCCCAATACATATACATGTACTTCTCATAAAATGTTTGAACCTGAGTACATTTTTTTTTAAAATAACAAATTAATAGAAAGAACAGATGAATATATGCATATACATGTCCTTCCCATATAAAATATGATGCATGTTCAGGAGTTGCAACAAACTAAGGTCCTGAGGACCTCCTGGTATCATCCTTGGGATGTAAACGATTCATATTCACTAAAATCCATATGGTTACCATGTTAATCATAAGGGTATATATACAGATATTTACTGGATAACAAATGAACAAACAATAATGACATATTATTATTAAACGAAAAAATTGATTGTTTCTTGAAATTGAATTAAAGTCTCTAGTTGGTCCAGGCCAACTTGGGAAAGTCTCTAGTTGGCCCAGTGGTTTTCTAATTATTGGTAATTAAAGATTTGCTCTGTCCAAAATTCATTATATCCAACCACCCAAAAACAACCACCCATTGGTAAACTATATCTCAGAATCTGGACTAATACATATTTCTAACCCTACAAATTGCATATATCAAGCTAACCATTTTTAATTGTTCAACTGCATATATTCAAAAGAAAAATCTAAGGACATGACTAAATAAAATCATATAATAGGGCTATAGAAGAGCAATACGCATTAAAAAAAGGCACAAATTTCACCAACACAATTCTTCACTAATTGGGCAACCATACATTTCATAAAATTGATTTAATTGATAAATTGATCAAATGCAACTAAAAGAGACCAATATTATATTAAAAAAAGTGAATAACCAATTAAGAAATTCACACCCAACATCAGGCCACTCTTTGAAATAACTATGAGCCTCCATAGAACATGAAAAAAGGAGTTTTCTAAATATTCCAGGGCCAACTCCACTTGATCATTATTCATTGACCAATCCAAAACATAAAGAACATACAAAGTGGGTATTCATTGGATTACTAGGAAAAAAACCAAAAAAATAAAACAAAAAAACCATCCCCAAGTTTTTTACAGAATAAAATAGAGCTTCTATACCCAACAAAAAGTAAAAAAGAAGCAGACAAATTAAAAGAAAAAATACCAATAATACAAGAACAAACTAGAAAATATAACAAAAAAAAAAACCCCTTACCCTTTCTACAGAGCAAAGCCCAATAGTAAAGATAAAAAATCACAAAAATACAACAAAGAAAACCTATAGCCTTTTTTTTTCTTTTCTTTTCAGAGAATGGAATGTTGTTGTGCAATTATACACCAAGTAAACAAACCCATGTATCAATTAAAATAAATTTTGTTTTTGCCATTACATGTTAGGAGAATTTTGTTTTTTCCATTAGATGCAGAGAGAATAAAAATCCATTAGATGCAGAGTACAACATTTATTTCCAATATCAAATTAGAAGGAAAACCTAGCGAAAAAAGAAAAGAAAAGAAGGAAAACCACAAAATAAGTGAAAGAAACAAAACCTTACCTTGTTGATTAAGATGAAGAAGGTTGAAGGTAATGAGACTTCGAAACTGATTATCGTTTGAGAGAGAGCATGATAATAGGGAAGAGGGATGAGCTGAGTCAAGGGAGAGGGATGAGAGACAGTAGGGAGGTTTTGATAGGGAGTCGAGACAGTATGGAGGTTTTGAGAGGGAGCCGAGACCATCGCGAGGGTTTGAATGAAAGATCGCTATTTTTGGATGTTCAACATCCGAAAATACCAAAAACTCAGTTGTTGAACATCCGAAAATAACAAATTGAATGTGTTAACTTGCGCTCATTTCGGATGTTCAACATCCAAAAAACACGCATATTCGGATGTTGAACATCCGAAAAAGGGCAAAGTTGTATTTTAAAAAAAAAGGCATTATGGAAGATAAAAAGCGGACACAAATGTAATAACGGAAAGTATTTGGTAGACCCGTAATAACGTAAAGTATAACGAATTTCTGCATAATTTTATAATTTTTATCTTTTAAAGAAGCTAGTTTTACTTTATTCAAAATATTTTGCATAAAATCACTTGTTTTCAACCATATATAAACTAAAATTAGCTGAAAAGCGTATAAAAAGTTAAATAATTAAACAATATTCTATACAATCAATGCGTGTACCAACAACTAACAAATTAAGGGCCTATTTGGATGTGCATATTTACATTGGTAATTTATCATTTTGATAAAATTAGTCTCGATAATAAATTACATGTTGTTTGGTAGTGTCCACCATATGAGATAAATTTGGAGACAGTTTTACATACAAGTTTATCGAAAAAGCTGTTTTTATTTTTTTCAAAATAAATTGGTTGTGCCAAAAATCATTTGTTTTTAGCAAGACATAGTTACAATAACTAGAAGCCATAAGAAAAGTTAAATAATTAAATAATATATGTAATAATAATATACATAATGCAAAGTACTTATCAAACAACCAACATCACAATATTCCGCATAGTATATTAAATTTAAATTAAATAATGTACTACGGATAAAATTAAATTTCATCCAACCATGCCCTAATATTATGAAGAGTTTCTAATAAGGTGGTCCACTTATGATAATATTAACTAACATTCAAACAAGTACCGAGGCAAACCGCATCCAACCATGCCCTAATATTATGCAGAGTTTCTCATAACAAGCCCATTCAAACAAGTACCAAGGCAAACCGCGTACAATGCGTAGGTGAAGCCGTGAAGCAGACTAAATTTCTCAAAAGAGACGACTTTTTTGTACACGATCTTATCAAACAAACCACGGCAGTTTTATAGGCGACCTTACCAATGGACACCAGCCCCTCCTTCCAATAATACGAAAAAAAATGGAAATTTAAAAAAAATCCTTGTTTATATCGAATTTTCAAAATAATCCAACATGTTTTATACTTTATACTTAAGTTCTTCTTTTTTTATAGTGAATATTGCATTTTAATTTTTATTATTTTTATACATTTGATTAAACTTAAATTTTGAGCATCTATACTTCTCACTGTAGTATATTTGTAAACAATAGAACAAATATAATTATGATAAATAAAAAAAACCAAAATGACATTCAAATTTGCAAAATTTTAAGGGAATTTGGTTATTTTATTTATTTAAATTCTTTTTGGTATTTTAAAAATATGATATGGTGAGAAATATGAAATCCCCAAGATTGAGCTCAATCTTGTGTATAAAAAAAAATAAAAAATAAAACATAATGTGCACTCTGAGTGGGACTATGAAATATAAAAATATATTTATTATAAAATAAGCTAAAAGATTTCGTACTCCCAATGAAGCATATTGTCCAATTATTCCCTCGGGCAAAACCCAATTTAAAACCCCAAATTTTGGGATGTGACCTCTTCAACCTATATCATCATCATCAAAGCCCTTTCCCAACTATTTGCAGTTGGCTTCATGAATCTCGGTCCGCCATTCTGCTCTATCAAGTGTCATACCCTAAGTGAGAAATAATTCACTATATATTTTCTTACTAATTCGATCCATATCCTTTTGGGTTTAACACTTGCCTTTTTTAAGTCTTCCACTTAAACTAACTCACACATTCTAATAGGTGCTATACTGGATATGTGCTGCACATGGCCAACCTTCTTAAGTCTACTTTATCTTATTTTATCGCTTATTGGAGCTACACCTAAGTTCTCCCCAATATGTTCGAATTATAGCTATGCTTATCTTGTCATTCATCCATCTCAACATCCTCATCTCGGTGACGCTCATCCTATGAGTATGTTGTTTCTTATCCGCCCAACATTCGCTCCCTAAAAGCAAAGTTGGTGGCATTGCTGTCCTATAAAACTTGTCATTCAGTTTCATTGGTGTGTGGATTTGATATAAAACTCCATTTGCATATCTCCATTTCACCGACCCAACTCTAATTCTATGTGTGATATCTTCCTCATTTTATCTATTTTCCTGGATTATTGTCTCAAAATATCCAAATTACGCTATACAATAAAAAAATTGAAATTATAAATATCCCCAATCTAGGTATTCCCCACCCCAATACTCTTCACTTTTGCATTCACCCCATGAGTAAGAAAATAATTTTTTTAGGACGAAAATAACCACCTATGTATAAGGTAGTTTCTTTCTCTAAAAACTTAAAATTTGAAACTTTATTGAAAGAAATTATCTCAAATTTTTATCAAGAGAAATTATGTTAAATAAGTTTTAGAAAGAGAAATATTCTCAATTTTTTCAAAGGAAGAAACTATCGCAAATTTTAAATAATCTAAACTTTCAAGTTTTTAAGGACATAAACTCTATAAAATGTGAAAGCCTTGAGGGACAGTGAAGGATGGGAAAGAATGTGGGCTTGTACATAGGGTTATTTCGCTCTAAAAAAGTACCTTTCTTATTTGAGGGGGTGGATGCAAAAATAAATATATAAAAGTTAGTAGTGTGGTTTGAAATATATTGGGTGGAGGCATGCGTAGAAAACTATGGTCCAGGGGTATCTATAATTTTCCGATTTTTTTTTCCTCTATGGGTTTGAAGAAAAAATTAATTAAGATTGAATAGAAACCATGTAATTTTTGAAAGGTGAGATTTAGGCATTAAAAAACTCAAAATTCAATTTTTTTTTCTCGATATAATCATGTAGTTATTTTTAGGTGGTTCCTAAAATTTCAAATCAAAAGAAATCTTCCCAAGTTAAATCTACTAATCAAGGGAGTAAGGGTACAATATGCTTCCAAAGAAACACGGTATGCAGTCGCAATATTTTGTCCACATATTTCCAAACAAGTTGGAACGCGCAATATTTTGTCCACATATTTCCAAACAAGTCGGAACGTTTGTATAAGGGAAAGGTGTTTTGTGAGTGTGCCCCCACAAAATCCATCTTAAAAATGGATTTTAGAACTTGAGGATTTATTAATTTCAATTATGATGATGACCGTGAATCTAGAAATTCATTTTTTTAAAAAATACAAACAATATTTTTCTCTTTTTCCACAATCCAATTTTAACAAAGAAAAAGTTTGTAAAATGTAGAATTAAAGATGCACGTCGAAAATCCATCGAAAAATGTTGTTTTAAGGTTGAAAAACCCTATAATTGATCATATTGATACAAAGATGTACGAATATGAAAAAAAGAAAGAATTCTAGAAGTAGTGCATCTTGCAACACATTATCTAGAACGTCCATTTTCAAGATTTTCATATGTTTTAGATCTACTTGATTTTAACTATTTTTGGAGTTTAAAATTTTATAATTAAATATAAAAATAGATTTTCAGATATTTGAGAACTTTTTACACAAAAATTACATGATAAATTTTGGAGGTGCCCTTAATTGGTTTGTTCAAGGGGAGAGGTGTTTATAAGGTGTCAACTTTATACTATTGAAGTAAGATGCCCCTCAAAACTATGCCGAAAATGCAGTTTTTGGTGTTACAAATCTTTGCAATAATTTGAGAATCTATTGTTGCCCCCAAGTGTGAAATTTAAAGTTTTAGAAAGGGTAACAATCACGTGGATCGATAAAAACTTAAGAATATTGAAAATAGATGGTTCGGATAATGTGTTAAAAGATGAACTATTTATAAGATTAGAAATCCCCCTTTTTTCTTGTCTATAAATCTATAATTGATTTCAGAGCTTTTCCGCATAGGAACAACCTTCATTAGTGGGTCCTTTAGGTGCACCTTAGCCATACAGGTAGAAACCTTATATAAATTTTGCCCTTTAACATTTAGTGGATGTGACGACGCACATAATTTGGTGTGTCGGCCGACTCACCAAAACCGGGTCCCATCAAAAGAAGGAAGGGTAAAAAGTCTCCGGCGCCCTTGAAAACGAAACCTTTTACTGTCCCCTCGCTTATGTGTAAAGGAAGCGAAACGCCCCATGCCATGCCCATTTAAATTGGTGACCAACCGTCAAAATAAATGGACGCCTTTCTTTTTCTTTTCCTTTCTTTCTCATTTAAAACCCCACTCCATTTAAACTCGCGCTAAAACCATTGGACTTTTTTTTTTTTCACGTCTAAATTGAAAGGAAATTTAATAAAGAGAGCCGCTCTACTCTTTCCTCAACGCTCCCATCCTCCGCTTTCTAGTTTTAGTCCGCGATCTCGATTGCTTTCGCCGAAATCCTGATCGCTTCGCCGAAATCTTGGTCTGAATCAGGTCATTCTCGTCAATATCTCCCCTGAATTATTTGTTTCCTCCTCTGATCTTTTATCTCGTTATTTTTCTCCTTTTGAAACCTTCTTTTTCATCTGGATCATAAAACGCTGCATGAATTAAATCTTCTTCTTGTTCGAATCTGACACTGTAAACTTGTTGTTTGGCATTTGCTTTATAATCTCAAGGTTTTTGCAGCATCAGATATATTTTTCTGTAAGTTATTGCAATATCAGATTTTCAGTTTTTATGTTCGCTTTTGAATGGAGTTGCTGTCCTTTAATTTCGTTTACTGGAGTTCAGATGTTTTGCTTTAATTTTCATTTTTTGATGAATTCCGTGAGTGTTAGGCTGAGCGTAAATTGAACTACTGATCCTGGGATTCTTTTTTCTTTTCAGGTATGAATTGTATGGACTTTTGTCATTGTGTTCTACTGGTTTTAGTCATTGTGGATTGATGCATAACAACAAATGAATGCGATCGATATCACTCATTTAGGCCTAAATTACTCACGTATAATCATGTCTGTCTTTTTCTTTTTTTGCTAATTTAATAGAATCCGTGATCTTATGCACACTTATGTTTGCTTTGGATCTCCCATGATCACCTTTACCATTCCCATGTTTATGTTTTTTGTGCATATTTGCATTCTTAATCATGTGGAGTTAATTCGGCTAGCGATTGCATTAGAGTGGTGCCCAGTGAAAGACAAAGAAATATACTGCCTTGACTTGATGTCTATTACTTCCATTTGGTCAATGAACGGTTACTTATCAAGCAATCGGAACCTTGATCATAGATTTGTAGCATCAAATTGTTTACAAAGGTTCCATTGATTTGTAGCATCAAATTGTTTACAACATAAAATAGGTCAAACTTGAATGTGTACACTACAGTGTAGATTGTAAGTAAGTATGGGCTGTTCATAACCATGTTCAACTATATGTATAGTATCTTTATCGTCTTTCATCATTTCTAATAACAGCTTTTGGATTTTAGGGATGTGAAGATTATTTACCTGCAAGATTTTGTTGCTATATGATGGTCTTTGTGCTGCTTAGTCGATAGAGGCTACAAGTAAACCACATTGTTTTAAATTGGGTATCTTATATAGGGATGGATGATGATGATAATCAAAGCAAGAATGCCACTGAAAGTACAACAGTCTCTCCCAAAAATGAAAAAGATAGTTTACCAAAATCTCTGCAACGGAGAGGGTTCTTCTCGTTCATTTGGAATGGGATCTTTGGGAGGCGCAATGAAGACTTTGAGAAGAAGCTACAATATCTTTCCAAGGAAGAAGCCTCTGTTCATGCAAGGGCGAAGAGGAGAATGGCAAGTTGGCGAAAGATGTCGAGGAACCTCATCGTGTATGCTGTGATTTTTGAAGTGAGTATCGAGTATGTATGGTTTTAACATTTCAAAAGATATTTGAGATGTGTCATCTGGAGAATAGCTGAATCTCATAATCCAGTTTCTGAAAGCGTTTCTTAAAAGCAATTATGTAAAATAGTTCTGGATGCTTGAAATTTGTCGGCACAAAATGATCTTCCTTGAATGATATTCCATGAGCAATTTTTGTTTATATTTCACTTTGGCGTTAAAAATTTTCATTCATTTGGAGCTTTAAATATACTGATAATCATATCCATTTTATCCTTTCCTATGGTTTTGCTAGTTTCAAAAAGTGATGTCACGGGTCAAAACTTTCTTTGTAAGGTTTATTAATCTGGGAATCGAACAGGAATTTTCCGCGGAGTCAAATAGCTTCTACTGACAGGATGTCAGCAGTCAAACCCTGTAATTTACAATATTTATTGATATCTAATTGTGTATTTGTGGTATGAAAGCTTGATTTAAAATTTACTTACAATATTTATCGATATCTAATTGTGTATTTGTGCTGTGAAAGCTTGATTCAAAATTTCCTAACAATTTCCCTATATATGTTGTTCCAATGAGGATGATTATTGTCACGTCTTGTAATCTATGTATCACTATTCTGGTTCCTCGGGTATTCTTCAGCTATTTAATGTTTCTCAAAACTTAGATGAAAATAGAAAGATATTGAATCGACCCCATCAAGCTCTTTAATTAACGTGTAAATTTTGTAATGAATATCCTTCTGTGTGAAATTAGTTTGGACTGTAACTTCTTGCTAGAAGATGCATTTCTTGAGAAGATAACAAAGAAAGTGAACTAAATGTTCAGAAACTTAGTCATTAGGATGTTCAGAGCCAGAGCACAACATCCAATGTTTGAATAAATATATGTTAACCACGTTTTGGCTTTGCCTTATGCAGATATTTTGAATGCAGCAAGGCAGCCCTGATCTAAGATCATATTTTCCATGATTCTGAACTTGGTTAGCGCCATGATTTCATCTTGGAGCAAACTGCACATAAATAAATCATGGAATTATAGAGAATTACCAAGAAGAATGTAGAAATTTAAATAATGCCATATGATTCTGCAATGATGAGTGTTTTTTTTTTTATAGGTTCGAGTGATACAAATGCATAATTAATTGAATGCTGATATGTACTTCTATACACAAGCAAAACTCCCCACAAATTCAAGATTGGAAAAGATTCAACTTGTCCATACAGAACTTGTGTCTTGCTGTGGTCATCCTCGTAGGATATCTGTTCATTGAAGCCCATTGCTCATATCTTGATAGGGAGAGGGAAATTCACGTGCAATTATGTCGAATAAAAGGACAATCTGATTACTTGTTCCATTTGATCAAGCGACACAAGGTTGTCATGCTCAGGATGCCCCAGGATTTGTACTCATACGATGGTATCGTAGATGTTAACTCATCACAATGTCCTGGAATAGTACACATAGCCATACAATCTTGTTCATCTGCGTTATCCTTTTGCTGATTCTTGCACCATTGTTTCTCTTTTCTTAGTCTATAATTAATGGGAGCTTAGAAATGCACAATACCCTATGGATGACTCATGGTTTCGGGTCCTTCATCAAAATCAGTGTGCTACATGGTCTCAAATGGATTTGTTCTTAGCAACCAAGAAGTACAGAAGGAGAAGGAGAAAATAAAAAGAGAGATCAAAGGCTTTATTAGGTAGAAAGAGAGGGAGGACATATACTATGAGAGGAGAAAAGGTAGCATATTAATTGTAAAATTAACTTTAGTGCAAAAGTGCCCTTTTATGGGGGGAAAAAGAAAACTAAGTCCTTAGAAGCTTAAAATACAATTAAAAGATAACAAGGAGTCAATATTCATTTTCACAACCCTCCCCTTCAAGATGGTGCATGCATGTCAAGCATGCCCAACTTGTCTAAGATATATAGTAGTTGAGGTTTCCCGACGGCCTTCATTTGAATTGTTGCTAGCCGATCTTGTCTTCACATAAGGAAGACAAATTTCTTTAGTAGCAACTCATTCTCTAATAAAATGTTGGTCTACCTTTATATGCTTGGCTTAATCATGCTGGACCGGATTGTGTGCTATACTAATGGCTGCCTTGTTCTCACAATACTAAGAAATAGATCCCTTTACAAGAAAACCAAGCTCTCGTAACAGGATTTTTAACCACAACAACTGACATGTGCCATGAGCCATAGATCAATACTCTGCTTCGGCACTTGAACGGGTTTCAGTTGATTGTTTTTTACTCCTTCAAGGTTACCTCCAACTAGTGTGCAATAACCTGATGTAGATCTCTAGTTCATTATTTTGCCAGCTTAATCTTTGTCTGTATAAGCCTCAACTTGTAGGTGCCTACATTCTCAAAAAAAAAAAAACTTGTAGGTGCCTATGATTAACAAACAGTTGTCCTCTACCTGATGATGATTTTAAATATCTAGGAATTCTGTAAGCAGCTTCAAGATGTGGAGTTTTTGGAGTATGCATGAACTGACTAATCACATTCACAATATATGTAATATCTGGGCATGTAAGAGAGACATATTCAATCTACCCACAAAACCTTGGAACATACCCACATCCTAAGTGCTTCGCCCATTTTGTCATCGAGTTTGTGGTTTTGTACTATCGGCGTATCTGCTGGCTTTGACCCAAGCTTATGTTTTTTTGTAAGGAGATCAAGCACAAAGTTTCTTTGAGAAATAAAAATTCCCCCTCTTAAACTTGGCCACTTCTATCCTAAGAAAATATTTCAATGAGCCTCGATCTTTAATTACGAATTGCCTTGCCAAAAACTCTTGAGTTACTAAATTTCCTTAGGATAGTTACTTGTCACAGCAATATCATCCTTATGTACAATCAAGGCCGTGTTACTAACCCTAGTATGTTTCACTAAAGTATGATCAGCATGACTTCAAGGTTTTAGGAGACTGCTTTAGTCCATAAATGGCTTTCCAAAACTTGTTTGAGGAGTCTGCTTTAGTCCATAAATGACCTTTCTCAACCTATACATCTTTCTCTCATATCCAGGAGCCTTGAATCCAGGTGGATGAATCATGTACATTTCTTCCTGCAATTCCCCATGAAGGAACGTATTCTTGATGTCTAGTTGGTGCAATAGCCACTCCATGTTAGCTGCTAGAGATAAAAGGACTTGAATGGAGTTCAGCTTGGCCATAGAGCAAATGTCTCATGATATTCTATTCCATAAGTTGATTGAACCCCTTGGCACTTAATCATGCCTTGTATCAGTCAACCTTTGCGTTTCATAGTGTAATCCCATTTTCAACCAACAACTTCTTCCCATTAGGAGGGTCTAGCAGCTCCCAAGTGCCATTCCTCATTACTGCCCTCATCCCCTCACACGTAACCTATTTCCACTTCGGATGAGCTAAAGCTTATGTAACACTGGATGGAATAGAAATAGATATGTAACACTGGATGGAATAGAAATAGAAGACAAAGGTTACATGAAAGCACGATAGGAAGGAGACAAGGATTCATAAGAAACAAAAGTGCTAATCGGGTGTGCAGTGCAACTTCGCCTACTTTTGAGTATAACAATAGGCAATTGCGGTGGTTGGCAATATTACATGGATTAGAGATATACAATTGGTGTGAAGGTTCGTCAACAATGATGGTCTCTGCATTACAGATATATTATGTCTCTTCATTACAGATATATTATTGGTGTCAAGGTCTGTCAGCTATGATGGCCTCTGCTTCATTCTGCTTCTGTTAAGTATAGACTTTTATTTCTTTCTTTTCAGCATCATGAGAATGCCTTCCACTATTGTCCTGGGTTCCAGAATTAGAAATAATCAGGATAGGAAGTGAAACAAAAGGCCTCTCTGCCACATTGTTCTCCCCTTGAAGAGAGTTGAGAAGGGAGTGGACTCAAGAAAGGTTACATCCATTGACCCTTTTTCCAAAATGGATAACCAAGAGAAATACGTTTTACAAATTTTGGATCCAATTTAATATGGTACGGACCCAGAACATGAGCAAAGCAAATATAGTCAGATACTTTGGGGGGAACATTAAACAAGGGACGATCAGGTCAAAAAAGTTTGTATGCGGAATTGTAGTTCAAAGCACTATATGGCATCTAATTAATAAGATAAATGCATTGAGCATAGCTTTGGACCAGAACTTTTTAAGTAATTGATACTCAAAGAGGAGAGCACGACTCACTTTGAAAAGATGTCCATTAATTTTTGTTAGCTACACCATGCTATTGTGGTGTATAAGTAGAAGAATTTTGACGTGTTATTCCATGCTCATCCAAATTAGGACTATAACTCTCTATTACAATATACGCCACCTTGATCAGATTATGTCACATATCTAATTGAGTGAAAACCATCATATGAAATGCCTCAAAGATAGTTGGAGCTTCATCTTTGGTTTTCATTGGTAGATCCAGGTACATAAGTAGTAATCATCCAAAAAAGAAACAAAATACCGATAGATGTAAAAGGAGAAGGGCTACAAACATCAAAATGAACAATAAAAAACACACCTTGCTTTATTATTCCTACAGTTCTTTGATAGTTCACAAACCTCACATTAAAACTCATATGCACTGCTAGAGATAAACAAGTTAGAAAATAAAACTTTTAAGGACCGAAAAGACATATGACCAAGTTGGAGATGCTACTGCCAAATCTGACTTTTATTAACACTATAATTGGACTGTAGGGCTTGAGAGGTAGTTGTTCCCAAGTCTAGAATGTAGAGACCACTACCAATCATCTTCCTTGTATCTAGATCCTGAAAAACACCATGGGAGGGAAAGCAGGCAATGTTCAAGAAGGCGGATGCGGTTGCCTAAATATCTAGGGGCCCTAAGGGAAGGGGGTTGCGGTGGGGCCATATGTTGTTTTGTGTAAGTATGTTTTGTGAATGTGTATGTGTATGTGCATGCGCATGTATGTGTTTGTGTGAGGTATCGCATGAAATTCTTAAAGATTGTTCTCTTTTTTTCTTTTTTCTG